CGCTGCGAGCCTGTGCCCTTGGCTTAAGTCGGACCTGTCCTCCTACAGTCCGACGTTGGGGGAAAAATTGAAAATACCCAACAAAAACTACACAAATGCTCAAAAATGTTTTTTAAAGTCCCCTGGCTATTTTTGCCTTTTTGAATTTCCCCCTGTAGGAGAGACAGGCCCCATTTGAGCCTTGGCACACCTGGGCACCTCGAGGAGATTCGACTGGCGACTCTCTTGCCACGTCAAGATGCTCACCTCTGGGCGAGGCGCCACACGGCGTCCAGTGTTAAGTCGGGCATGTCCCCCTACAGGGAGATCTGGGGCGAAAAATTATAACAATACTCAGGAAAAGCTCCTAAACGATCAAAAGTAGTCAAGAATCGTCCCCTGACCACTTCTTGCTACTTCTTGACATTCCCCCGGTAGAGGGACACGCCCGACTTCAGTCCAGCGGGAAAGAGGCCCTCCCTCGCCACGAGGGAGCCCCTCCCGCCCCACGCCACTCAGTGACTACCTGCCAGACCACCCCAACCCAACCCGAAGACCTGAATTTCGGGTTGGGGGGGGTAAGGGCTCCACACGTGTTTTTTCTACGTTTCCCGACCCCCCCCCACTGGAAATCGAGGGTAAATCTGAGCCTTCGGGTTGGGTTGGGGTGGTTTGGAGGGTGGTGACTCAGGCCCCCGAGGGCCCTGCGGCCGTGGCCAGAGCACGGGATCCCGAAGGCGCCCCTGGCTTCGCACGCCAATCGGCGCCGTGGGCCGGGAGCGACCGACCGCGACGCGAGCGGCCACGTGCACGCCGCACGCTCAGAGGGGGCTCATCACCAGAGTCCTCCTCCTCCTCCTCCCTCCTCCTCCCTCCTCCTCCTCCTCCTCCCTCCTCCTCCTCCTCCTCCTCATCCTCCTCATCCCCTCCCTCCCCCTCCTCTCCCTCCTCTCCCCTTCCTCCTCCTCCTCCTTCCTCCATCCCTCCTCCTCCCTCCTCCTCCCTTCCTCCTCCCCCTCCTCCCTCCTCTCCCTCCTCCTCCTCCTCCCTCCTCCCTCCTCCTCCTCCCTCCTCCTCCTCCTCCTCCTCCTCTCCCTCCTCACCTCCTCCTCCTCCTCCTCCTCCTTCCTCCTCCTCCTCCTCCTCCTCCTCCTCCTCCTCCTCCTCCTCCTGGCTCCTCCTCCATCCTCCGACCTCCCTCCTCCGCCTCCTCCTCCTCCTCCTCCTCCCCACATCTCCTCCTCCTCCTCCTCCTCCTCCTCCCCCTCCTCCTCCTCCGCCTCCTCCTCCTCTTCCTCCTCCTGCCTCCTCTCCTCCTCCTCCTCCTCCTCCTCCTCCTCCTACCTCCTCTCCTCCTCTCCTCCTCCTCCTCCTCCTCCTCCTCCTCCTCCTTCCTCTCTCTCCTCCTCCTCCTCCTCCTCTCTTTCCTCCTCTCCCCTCCTCCTCCTACTCCCCCTCACTCATAGGTATGTTACGTTATGATCTCCTCCTCCTCCTCCTCCTCCTCCTCTCCTCCCTCCTCCTCCCCGGCCTCCTCCTCCTCCTCTTCCTCCTCCTACCTCTTCCTCCTCTCTTACTCCCTCCGCGTCCTCCGCACGACCGCAGGGCAGAAAATAAAAGAAAAAAAAAAAACGAAAAAAAAATCAAAAAACAAGAAATAACATTTAACATAAAAAGAGTCCCTCTCGAGCTCTGTGTGTGCCGGCACGCTCGGTGGTCAGTTCTCAGGGCGGGCGCCGGTTCACACCCGCAGAGCCAGCGGGGCGCTTCCCGCTTCAGTCCTGCCCCCTGCGGCAGGGCCAGGAGGGCCGCGTGACTCTATCAACCCTCCCGTGCCCCACACCTCGGGCGGATCTTCAGCCTCGGCCGGGACACCTGCGCCCCACAAAGTCCCACATCGGATCTCATCCGTGCTCCTCTGGGGGCCTTGTCGGAGACTCAGGGGAGAGGGACGGGGTAGGAAAAGGAAAAAAGGATCAGCAGGGACTCGGGATGAAGGGAGGGAAGGAGAGAGGAGGAGAGGCAAGGCGGGGAGAAGGGGAGGGAGGAGGGTATCGGACGTGAGGAGACGGGGCGGCGGGGTGGGAGGAAAACGGAAAGTCGGCGGGACGGACCCAGGACGGGGTGTAACACGACGGGGCGGGGACACGGACGGCGACGGGACGGGGAGGGGGGCGGGGAGAGAAACGGTGGAGCACTGGCACGGGCGGGGACAACGACAGGGACGGGCGGAGGGCCGGCGAGGTGTTGGAGGGGGGGCGGACGGGGACGGAGACGGGGACGGGGACAGGGCCGGGATGTGGGGACCCGAGAGGGGGGGAGGGGGAAGGGCGAGAGGGGAGCAGGAGGCCCAGGGCACCTCGGGAGCGAGCCGAGGGTCCCCCGCCCCTGGCCGCCCCTCCCGCAGGTCGCGAGGTCGGGGCTCGAGACGGCGAGCCTCGTGCGAGCTCCAGGACCGACCAGGCCAGAGCTCTCCCCCGCTCTGCCTCTCCTTCTGCCCCTCTGGGCGCCCCTTACCCCCCCCCCTTCCCCCATCTCCCTCCCGCCCTCTCCCCCTCCTCCCTCCTCCTCCTCCTCCTCCCTCCCTCCTCCTCCTCCTCCTCCTCCTCCTCCTCCTCCTCCTCCTCCTCCTCCTCCCCCTCCTCCTCCTCCTCCTCCTCCTCCTCCTCCTCCTCCTCCTCCTTCCTCCTCCTCCTCCTCCTCCTCCTCCTCCTCCTCACCTCATCCCCGCCAGCGCCCCCCCATCTCCCCGCAGGGGAGCCAGGGTGGCACCCCAGACATCCGACGGAGCGTCTTTGCGTCGTGGCATGGGCCCCTGGACCTTCCCAGGGACTGGTTTCTCATCCCGGGGCCGTGTTGCTGATGGACCCAGGGCCCGAAACGGACCTTCAGAGGCCGAAAACGTGGCAAGACTGCTCGCCGCAACTTGTCCGTGACGCTAGAGGGCGGGGACTGGCCACGGGGGACAGCTGCCGCTACTCCCGGGAATGTTTGCCAAGGTGCAGCTCCCGAAGCGACTCCAGCCCCGCCACCACGCCAGCCACCCCGGGGGCCACAAATTTGGCGAACACGAGGGGAGACGCAGCGGTGTCGGCACCCGTTCCCTCCGAGGGCCCTGGTGGTCGGTTCTGGGGCCCGGGGCCCGATCGCTGGCTACGGCGCGTCGGCGTCGCCGTGGGGGTCCGGGGCCTGCCTCGGCGCGCCCGCGCCGTCCACGGACTCCGTCGGCGGCGGCGCCGGCCCGAACTCGGCGGACCTGCAGTGGGAAGGTGGGGGGGGGGAGGGATATCGCGTCGGAGGGGGAAGTTGCACCGAAGGAGATCGAGGAGTGTCGAGGATCTGGGAGAGGTTTCTGGGCGGTGTGGGCCCTTGGAGGCGCTCGGAGGCCCCGCGGGGGCCTCGGGGGGACCTCCGCGGACCTAGACCCCAGGAGACACCCCAGGGGTGGGCCCAGGGAGGGGAGGAAGGAGGGAGGGAGGCAAAGATGGTGGTGAGGAGGGAGGGAGGGAGGGAGGGAGATAGAGAGGGAGGAAAAGGCGGAAGAGGGGAGGAGGGACCGAGGGAGCGAGGAAGGAGGAAAGGCGGGACGGAAGGGAGGAGGGAGGGAGGGAGGCAAAGATGGTGGTGAGGAGGGAGAGGAGAGAACAGGGGGGACAAGCTGGGCACGCTCGCGCCACACGTGCCATCCTATCAATCCCTCCCGTCCCTGCACCTTACGCTGACTTGTTCTCTCTATACGCGGACGCGTGCCATAATCGGCCTGGAACCCCAATTATCCTGGCGGCGAAGGGCCCAACCATACGCAATTGTGAATACCACGTTGTGGGCACCACTTTCGGCTGGGGCCACGAACCGTGGGAGGGGTGCGCCGAAATGGGGCAGCGGTGCCATGCGGACGCCCCCACTGGGGCCTTCGGTGGAGCTCCCTATGAGGGCCACGAAACGTGTGAGCTGTGTGCCGAAATGGGACGGCGGCGCCATGCGGACGCTCCCGCCGGGGCCCTCGGTGGAGCTCCCTACGGGGGCCGCGACCCGTGTGAGGGGTGCGCAAAAATGGGGCAGCGGTGCCATGCGGACGCTCCCGCTGGGGCCTTCGGTGGAGCTCCTTATGGGGCCACGACCCGTGTGAGGGGTGTGCCAAAATGGGGCAGCGGTGCCATGCGGACGCTCCCGCTGGGGCCTTCGGTGGAGCTCCCTATGGGGCCACGAATCGTGTGAGCGGTGTGCCAAGATGGGGCGGCGGTGCCGTGAGGGGTGTGCCAAAATGGAGCGGCGGCGCCATGCGGACGTTCCCGCTGGGGCCTTCGGTGGAGCTGCCTATGGAGCCACGAACCGTGTGAGGGATGTGCCAACATGAGGCGGCGGTGCCATTCGGACGCTACCGCTAAGGCCTTCGGTGGAGCTCCCTATGGGGCCACGAACCGTGTGAGGGGTGTGCAAGAATGGGATGGGCATGCGGAGAGCAGAAGCAAGGGATGGGAGGAGGGAGGAGGGGGAGGAGAAGGAGGAGGAGGAGGAGGAGAGGAAGAGACGCGACGCGGGGCGCTGTCTCTTCAAAACGAGGACCCAACACTACAGGATGGTTGGGGAAACAAAGCATCGTTACGTGCGCAATCGGAGAAGAGGAGCTGCGCACATAGGAGGAGGAGGAGGAGGAGGAGGAGGAGGAGGTGGCGGGTGAGCACGAAGATGAGCGGGAAGAAAAGAAAACGGATGAGGAAAGAGGAGGACAAGGAACCACTCCGAGGCCCTCGCCGCAATGGCTCTGCACAGCGGCCCAAACTCGACACACCCCAACCAAGCCAGGCCCGAGAGGGGCGAGAGGAGCAAGAGGGAGGAAACAGAGAAGGCAAGTACCGAAACAGACTCCAGCATTTGAAAAGGCGGTGGTATATATACAACGCAGGCCCAAGGCCCGACAACAGGCCGTGACCTACCACGACACCTGCGAGATACGGGGGCGGCATATCGAACGCACGCGGAATGCACGAACACAACACAAGCTCGGGCAAGAGCATATGTTCGGGTGTTGCTAGAAGTGCCCCTGGCCCAAGGTGCCCCCAGCTTTTCGCTCCATTTTGCAGCCCTTGGGGTCCTCTGGGCCTCGCGAGCGGTGCCCTGGAGGCCGCCTGGGCCACCCCGAGAATCCTGGGGGGACCTTGGGCCAGGGTAAAACAGGGCTAGGATCGGGATAAATCGCTCCAGAGCGTTCCAGAGCGCTCTCAGAGCCTTCTGGAACGCTCTGGAGCGGCCGCGGCGCCCAATACATCCTCCAAACCCGCCGCTTCTCAGAGATTTCGAATGATCCCGATCCGATTTTGTCCCGATCTTCGCGTCGTTTTACCCCCCAAGAAGCCCAACGAAAATTTTACGTCGCAGCACTATGCTGCGTGCGCTCCCGCACGGACGTTGGGCACGACAAACACGTGCAGCTGGCTGGCGCCAACCTGGGAGAGAGAGAGCCTCAGGACGCCCAGCCAGCGGAGCGCAACCCAGGGAGGGCGGGTGGGATCTTCGCGTCGTTTTACAGGGGTACTTCTAGCAGCACCCGAAGTGCAGAGAGCGCGGGCGGCCGCACCGGCGTTGGCGGAACCCGCGGGCTCCGACGCGCGACGCGCGCAGGCGGGAGGGCGCCAGGCGATCCTGCGCCGGAGGCCGGGCGCGTCGCCCCGCCTCCACGAGGAGAAGAGAAGGGCAAGAGGGGAGGATGCAGGGAAGGAGGAGCGAGGGAAGGGGGAGGAGGGGGAGGAGGAGGGGGAGGAGGAGGAGGAGGAGGCGGAGGAGGAGGAGGAGGAGGCGGAGGCGGAAGGAGGCGGGGGAGGAGGAGCGGAGGAGGAGGCGGGGAGGAGGGAGGAGGAGGCGGAGGAGGATGAGGAGGAGGAGGAGGAGGAAGAGGGGAGGGGAAGGAGGACAAGCTAGGTGCGCTCGCGTCATATCTGACATCCTACCCCTCCCTCCCATCCCTTACCATGGCGTAGATCCCCTCTCTACTCGCACAGTCGGATGTCGAGCAGGGCAATGATCCCGAAAGGGTACGCGATGCATTGTAGAGCACGGCATGGCATGGCGTAGAAGAGCACCGCAAAGCGTAGTATCAGCCTAGCATTGCAATTGCATGCCGTGGCATGGCACGGGAAATGACGCCAGCGCTGCAGCGGGAGCACGAGTCGAAACGAGCGGAAACGAGGAAATATGGCCAGCGCTGCAGCGGGAGCACGATTCGGAACGAGCGGAAGCACGGAAATGAGGCCAGCGCTGCAGCGGGAGCACGATTCGGAACGAGCGGGGCCCGAAAATGAGGCCGGCGCCTCAGCGAGAGCAGCATTTTGAAAAAAAATGCAGGCGAAAACCCAACTCCGGGGAAACCTGTGAAAACAAAACAGTACGCGGGGGGGGGTCGAGCACTTTCAAATCGTCATCAGGGGAAGAGGGAGAGTAGCATTCATATTGAGTAATTGTGGAGGAGGAGGAGGAGGAGGAGGAGGAGGAGGGTGCGGAGGAGGAGGAGGAGGAGGAGCAAGCGCGTGGGCATGCTCGAGAAAAGCTCTGGAGGTGCCAGAGGTTCAGGAGGATACAGGGGGAAGGCAGTCCAGTCCCCGCTAGCGGACGGACAGAGGATCCGAAGCAAAGCCTCGGACCCACCTACAAGGCAGCCAGCCTCTTCAGGGTCATGACCGTCTGCGCGTAGGCCACGCCCTGCCTCGCCGACGCTGCCGACCGGGGCCAGGTGCCCCGATGATGCGCGAGATCGAGAAATCTCGGCGATGTCCTCGCCATCCTGTGAAAGCTGCCTCACCTCCATCAACACGAGGAGGCACGCCACGCTCCTTCTGGTTAGAGGATGGGAAGAAAAAAGGTTGCGCTGCGTCCCAAAAGTGGGGCCGACCCCGGCTTTGCCCGGGGCCGTCGCCCCGGGAGTTGCCCCCGTGCCCCTCCTCCCCCTGCTCCTCTTTGTACCGGGGCCCGTCGCTCACAGAAAGCTTCAGCATGCCCTCGTACTCGCCGTCCTCCCGGTGCCGGCGGTCGTCGCCGCCGGAAATCTTTTGCGCGCCGGCGCACTCGCCCTTCACCTCGTGCTGGTGGTCGCTAACCATGCCCTCGCACTTGCCCTCCTCCTCGTGCTGGCGACCGTCGTTCATCTTCCTTGAGCTGGTGGCCGCCGCCCCAGGGTCCTTCAGCGCACCCTCGCACTCGTCCTGCTCTTCGTGCTGGTGGCTGGCACCTCCGGAGCTCTTCTTGAGCATGCCCACGCGCTCTTCCTCCTCCTCCTCCTCCTCCTCCTCCTCCTCCTCCTCCCCCTCCTCCTCCTCGCCCTCCCCCTCCCCCTTCCTCTCGCTCCTCCTCCTCCTCCTCCTCCTCCTCCTCCTCCTCCCCTCTCCCCCTCCTCCTCCTCCTCCTCCTCCTCCTCCTCCTTCTCCTCCTCCTCCTCCTCCTTTTCTTCTTATTACTTTAACTCTTTTCCTATGATTAGTTATATCATTCGTATTAGTCGTAGTAGTATTGTGATGACTACTATTAGTATAACTACTATTCGTCGTTTTAGTACTGTTCGCAGTGTTATTAATCTTACGATCACTAGTAGTAGTAGTAGTAGTAGTAGTAGTAGTAATAAAAGTAGTAGTAGTAGTAGTAGTAGTAGTAGTAGTAGTACTAGTACTAGTAGTAGTAGTAGTAGTAGTAGTAGTAGTAGTAGTAGTAGTAGTAGTCGTAGTAGTAGTAGTAGTAGTAGTAGTAGTAGTAGTCGTAGTGGACGTATCATTGGTTTTGTGATTCGGCTTCTTCGTATGATCATTAGTATCAGTATCGATTTTTGCTTCTTAAACTTAACCGTATTAGTAGTCGTGCTCGTTTTCTCTTCGGCAAAGTATTCGTACTACGATTCAAAATGTTAATATCATACCGAGTGCTTTTACTACCCGTGTGATTAGTTTTATTCATAGCATTCACAATGTGTTTCGTAGTCTGATTATTAGTATTAGTAGTAGTAGTAGTAGTAGTACTATTCTTCCAAATAATATTAGCATGCGTATTATGTTTCTTAGAAACCTTCGGATAATTACAAGTGCTAGTGGTATTGCTATTATGTTCGGGATACTCTTATTACCATAAGTCGGAGTATCACTATTTCTCTGAGTATGATCGGTCCTGGTTCTTCCTGGTATGGTTGTTCGTCGCAGCATTATTCGCATGTCATGTTTCTGATGGTTCGCATTCTCATTACTCTACTAATATTATCGATAACAAGAATAGGAATGTCACTAATGGTTGTGCCTTACCATTGTTCTTATTGTCTGTTGTGAACTGCTTTTCTTAATCAATACTATACCTGCACGTATTAGTACTATTTAGTCTTAGTACGATTACTAATAGTATAAGTCTCGGTAGTGTTCATGGCATTCGCACTTATATGGCTACCATCATTATTATGAATATCAGTGTTCTTCGTACTAGTATGTTTCTTCTCCTCATCCTCAAAAATGATTAGCCGCATTAGTATTAGTAATATTGCAAGTTGTCTTAATCTTGTATCATTCATTCTCTTCTTAATATCATTCCTCCTCCTCCTCCCCATCATCCTCCTCTTCCTCCTCCTCCTCGTTCTTCTCCACCTCTTCCTCTTCCTCTTCCTTCTCCTCCTCCTCCTCCTCCTGATCCTCATCCTCCTCCTCATCCTCATCCTCATCCTCATCCTCCTCTTCCTCCTCCTACTCCTCTTCCTCCTCCTCCTCCTCCTTCACCTCCTCCTCCACCTCCTCCTCCTGCTCCCCTTCCTTCTCCTCCTCCTCCTCCTCCTCCTCCTCCTCCTCCTTTTCCTCCTCCTCCTCCTCCTCCTCCTCCTCTTCCTCCTCCTCCTCCTCGTGCTGGTTGCCGTCGTCCCAAGTGTTCCCATTCATGCCCCCGTGCGTCCTCCGCCTCCTCCTCCGTCTCCACGCGCTGGTACCCGTCGTTCCCACTCCTTCAGCATGCCGTCGTACTCGCCGCTCACATGGCGTTAGCGGCCCCGCCTCATCTTGAGGCCCCCGTTCCCATTTTCGTCGGCGTCCTCGGTGTCAGGGGCACCCTCTAGCGCTGAAACCACAATCGGCTTCATGCAGCCCGGGTGCAACATTGTCTTCACGACAGCTGCCTGCGCCAACGCTGAGGCAGCGCCGCAAAGACAGCTACTGGGAGAATGCTCGCAATGCGATCGTCCTGCGTAGCACCTTTCAGCCTTCCTTTTCTGCTGCCGGGTTTCCGCGTCCTGTGTCGCCGAGGCGATGACGTCCTTCTCCACGGAAGCGGCCCCGCACAGCTCAGAGGCGAAGCCGATAGAATCCGAGATGCCCGCCATCATCATCGGCATCTGCTCCTGGATGCTGCTGGCCTCATGCACCTTGATGGACGTCCAGCAGGCATTGCACTTTCGTTCTATACCCCAAAAAAGCACGAGTGGTGCAACCCGGACACGGAAACGTCGTCGGCGACAACGTCAACTCGCCGCATCTGCCCGCATGCCTGTCGAGACCTTGTCGCCTGCCACCATCTCGCCACCGCCACGGCCCCAGCGCGACCGCGGGCGGGAGGGCGCAGGGCCCAACCCAAGCCGAGGCTTGGGCCAAAATGGCTTGAGCTAAACAAGCTTGGAGAGCTGTTCTCAGAGTGTGCAACTGTGAAAGTGGAGGAGGAGGCGAACATCCGAGCCCCCAGAAGCCCAATCTCACCCTGGCTTTGTGGCCGCCCAAGACCTGAGTCCGGGCCGCCCGGGGAGCTCGCCGCCGACCGCCGCGCCGTCGCTGACGGGCTCTTGCGACTGCCGCGGCGGGCGTGGAGGGCGGTTCTGATACATACCCCGGCGAATTGGTCCATACCCCAGTGAACGGGTCCACTCCCCCGTGACACCAGGCAATGGTCCGGCTTGCGGGCGCAACCTTGGCGAATGCGTCGAGCGGGGTCGTACTAGAAAGGTATGAAAACCAGACGTGGAGGCAACTGTGCAACCAATGAGTTTCATAAACAACAACAGGGAATGCATCAGTAGGTGTGCGTAGTAGTAGTCGTAGTAGTAGTAGTAGTAGTAGTAGTTGTTGTTGTTGTAATAGTAGTAGTAGTAGTAGTAGTAGTAGTAGTAGTAGTAGTAGTAGTAGTAGTAGTAGTAGTAGTAGTAGTAGTAGTAGTAGTAGTAGTGGTAGTAGGAGGAGGAGGAGTAGTACTAGTAGTAGGAGTAGTCGAAGTAGTAGTAGTAGTAGTAGTAGTAGTAGTAGTAGTAGTAGTAGTATTAGTAATAGTAGTAGTGGTGGTAGTAGTAGGAGTAATAATATTAGTAGTAGTAGTCGTAGTAGTAGTAGTAATGGTAGTAGTAGTAGTAGTAGGAGTAGTAGTAGTAGTAGTTGTTGTAGTGGTAGTAGTAGTAGTAGTGGGAGTAGTAGTAGTATTAGCATTAGTGTTAGTACCAGTAGTAGTAGTAGTAGTAGTAGTAGTAGTAGTAGTACAAGTAGTAGTAGTAGTAGTAGTAGTAGTAGTAGTAGTAGTAGTAGTCGTAGTCGTAGCCGTAGTCGTAGTAGTCGTAGTCGTAGTCGTAGTCGTAGTCGCAGTCGTAGTCGTAGTCGTAGTCGTCGTGGTCGTAGTCGTAATCGTAGTCGAAATGGTAGTCGTAGTTGTAGTCGTAGTCGTAGTCGTAGTAGTAAGTAGTAGTAGTAGTAGTAGCAGCAGCAGCAGCAGTAGTAGTAGTAGTAGTAGAAGAAGAAGAAGAAGAAGTAGTAGTAGCAGTAGTAGTAGTAGCAGTAGTAGTAGCAGTAGTAGTAGCAGTAGTAGTAGCAGTAGTAGTAGCAGTAGTAGTAGCAGTAGTAGTAGCAGTAGAAGAAGTAGAAGAAGTAGGAGTAGTAGTCGTAGTATTAGGAATGGCAGTAGTAGTAGTAGTAGTAGTACTAGTACTAGTACTACTACTAGTAGTGGTAGGAGTAGTAGTAGTAGTAGTAGTAGCAGTAGTAGTAGTACAAGTACAAGTAGTAGTACGAATAGAAGTAGTAGTAGTATTATTAATAATAGTCGTCGTAGTAGCACTAACAGTAGCAGCAGCAGCAGGAGTAGCAGTAGCAGTAGAAGTAGCAATAGCAGTAGCAGTAGTAGTAGTAGTAGTAGTAGTGACAGGATCAAGGATACGATTAGTAGTGCTAATAATAATGGTAGTGCTTCTGGTAGTGGTAGTAGAAAGGGTAGTAGTAGTAGTAGTAGTAGTAGTAGCAGGATTAGTGGTAGTGGTGGTAAAAATCGTAGCCATGCTCGTAGTAGTCGTAGTACTTACAGGACTACTGGTAGTAGTGACAGTAGTAGTAGTAGCAGTAGTAGTAGTAGTAGAAGTAGTAGTAATAATAGGGGTAGTCCTCGTAGTAGTTGTTGTGGTGGGAGTAAGAAGGGTAGTTGTAGCAATAACAGTAGTAGTGGTAGTAGTCGTCGTCGTCGTCGGATTAATAATAGTAGTTGTAGTATTAAACAAACCAAAAAACAACAACAACAACAACAACAACAAAAAGCGACCCTACCTAGGAGTTGGAGCCCCTAGGAGAGCAATATTAGTAGTAACGGTAAACACCGTCCTCCTCCTTCTCCTCATCGTCGCAGTTGTAGCAGTAGCGGTAGTAGTAGTGTTATGCTATGCTATGCTATCCTGCGCTATGCTATGCTATGCTATGCTATGCTGGGCTATGCTATGCTATGCTAGGCTATGGTATGACATTATATGCTGCGCTATGCTATGCTATGCTATGCTATGCTATGCTATGATATGCTATGTTGCGCTGTGATATGATATGCTATGATATGTTATGCTATGATATGTTATGCTATGCTGTGATGTACTGTGCTATGAAAAGCTATGCTGCGCTGTGCTATGCTAAGCAATGCTATGTTATGCTATGCGATGCAATGCTATGATATGATATGCGATGCTATGCAGAGCTATGCTATACTGTGCTATGCTATGCTATGCTATGCTTGGCGATGTTATGCTATGCTATGATGTGCTCATGCTGCGCTGCGCTATGCTGCGCTGCGCTAAGCTAAGCTAAACTAAGCTAAGGCATGTTAAGCTAAGCTAAGCTAAGCTAAGCTGAGCTAGGCTAGGCGAAGCTAAGCTAAGCTAAGCTAAACTAAGCTAAGCTAAGCTAAGCCATGCTAAACTAAGCTAAGCCAAGCTAAGCTCAGATAAGCTAAGCTGAGATGAGCTAGGCTACGCTTAGCTAAGCTAGGCTAGGCAAATCTAAGCTAAGCAAAGCTACGCTAAGATGACATAAGATAAGCTAAGCTAAGCTAAGCCAAGCTAAGCTTAGCTAAGCTAAGCTAAGCTGGGTGAACCCAGGGGGCGGGGACTGGGGGAACCGCGGGGCGGGGACTGGGGGAACCGCCCGGGGCGCTTTCCACTGCCCGGCCCCTTTAAGCTAGAGAGTAAGAACCCTTCTAGGCAGAGCCTAGGTTGGGGGGGGGGGGGGAAACATAATTCTAGTAGTAGTAGTTGTAGCAGTAGTAGTAGCAGTAGCAATGGTAGT